AGGCTGTTGACCTCACTACTCTAGCCTCTGCTGCCTCTAGTTTCTCAATGTTCCATACAAAGTTCATTTCTCCACATGCCAACCCTTCCAGTTCAGTCTCCATTTCCCCCTTCTCTGTCAGGCTTCACCACTGCAGGTGAGACAAGTGGATGCTACAAGGCCTCTCTACCAAATGGGGTGAACACTCCCTAGCTCACTTTCAAACTGCTCCCATCTCTGCTCAGTTTCTCTTGGCTGTATTTTCCACTGACAGTCCTTTTCTGGTCTATCTGAATTGGGTTTGGTATTTGGTGTCTCAAGTTTTTAATTTAATTGCTTTTCATTAAGAACATAAATAATATAGCATAATAGAGGAAAACATGTCTGTGGTCCACCCAGTTCCCCACACATTTACCAGCTGTATAACCCTGGCTATGGTATTAATTTTCCCATACCTCAGTTTCATCACCCATCCCTTTGGGATAATACCTATCTTGCAGGCTTGTGAAGGGTAAATAATCTTATTAAAAAGCTTGCCTGTGTCTGGCATAAGGCTAGCATTCTCTAAGTGCTACCTAGTATCAATGTTGTTATTGTTGCTATTATTAAGGTTTAACCTACTGTAAGCTCATCTCTCCTCCTGCCGAAACTATCCCACCTGAAAGGAAAGTGACCACAACACTCAGAGCAACCAAAAGATCTTTATTGCAGCAGTGCAACAAAGAGAAAGGAAAGAAGGAAAGAGAGAGAGAGAAAAGAGAAGAGATGAACAGGGAGAGAGCAAGAGCAAGAGAGAGAGAGCGCGCATAAGAAAGATAAAGAGCAAGAGAGAGAGAGCAAGAGAGAAAGAGCAAGAGAGAGAGGGAGCAAGAGAGAGAGGGAGCAAGGGGGGGGGTAAGAGAGAGGGGGGCCTGGCAGGAGGGAGTTTTTATAGCCCAAGTCTAATGGGGCCTCTGAGTCTGCAAGCTGCCTTGTTGGCCCAAGGGGGGGTTAAGTGTTCAGCCTTAAGCAGGGTTGAATGTTCAGACTTGAGGCAAACAGGTGATAAAGGACCAGATAGAGGGGGGTTTGAGTGCGTGGGCTATCTTGCAGCCAACATCTGTTCAGCCTGCCCTGCAGACAACACAGTTCAGCCTGCTCTGCACCCAACACCACCCAAACTTGTTCAGAGTTTGAAAGGATCTACCATGGAGCCTATGTCCCCAGCCTCCCCATTCCCTCCTCTCTACAAATACCTCCTATGGGTATACTCTCTTTCTTTACTGCATCCATCTTAGTTGAACCCTTCCCCGCATTCCCACAGTTCCCTGCATCCCAGTTCCTGATACTTGACGTAGATGGGCATTGTCATAGAGCTCAATTCTGATACTTACCTGAGTGGATAGGCCAAAGATGAAGGCAGGCCCAGGAATCTCATGCCTCCCAAGGCAGCCATCCAATCAGGTGACTGGTTTCAGCCTTTAAAACCAGAGAAGACTTAGTTTATCCCATCAAGCAAGGAGAGACTTACAAGGACACTGTCATACAGCCCAGAGGCCCCATGCTGAGAGGCCATACAAGGCAACATCCAGCCGTGGCCAGTGTCTGCAGCCTGGGTTTCATGAGTCAGCTCCTTCTCTCCAGTTGTGTACCTCATTCATTAATCCCGTCTCAACCCACTTGGCCATGCTTTTGCTCCTCATCCTACCATATCTCATCCTTTTTTTTTTTTCAATTGTTGTTGTTGTTGTTCTTTTTAGGTATATATCAAAGTTGAGTGTATTTTGACATATTATACATACATGGAGTATAAGTTCTCATTCCTATAGTTATACATGATGTGGAGTTACACTGGTTATATAGTCATATATGAACATAGCAAAGTTACGTTCAATTCTTTCTACTGTCTCCTATTCCCATCCCCCTTCCTTTCCTTCATTCCCCTTTGTCTAATCCAGTGAACTTCTATTCTTCCCTCTGCCTCATTTATTTAATGTTAGCATCACATATCAGAGAGAACATTTGACCTTTGATTTGGGGGACTGGCTTATTTCATTAGCATGATAGTCTCCAATTCTATCAATTTACCAGCAAATACCATAATTTCATTCTTCTTTAAAGCTGAGTAGTACTACATTGTGTATATATATTACATTTTATCTGTTCATCTGTTGAAGGGTACCTAGGTTGTTTCCATAGCATAGCTATTGTGAATTGTCTCTCTTTTGATTTAGTACCACTCTCTCTGGTTTTGATGTCCTCCCACCCAAGTTAGCTTCTATTTTTGGTCTAATGTTCTTACAGATTATCTTGGATAATTTTCTCATATTTATAGAATTTATAATCCTGCCATACTGAACCAACCTCTATTCCTTCTTCCTGTAGGCAGCCATCTCTTATCCCTCAACAATGGCCTGTCGTGGGTCTATCTATGAAACCAGGGAAAATATTAGCTTTTGGCATAAATGACTTGGTAATAGTGTCACTGATTTATGTTCTAGGTCTATAGTAGAATATCCAGGGAATGAGTCCTTATTTTATTATTTTGAAAATAACTATGGTCCTCCTTTTTGGACAGGCCCGGTAAGGCTGTATATGTATGGGCATTATTTATGACTGTACAAAGTGCTGATTAACTTACCTGGAAATCAGTACTATGCCATCTTCAGAGAAGAATGATTAATATCATAGTAATTAAGAGTCTGGATTCTGAAGCCAGATGACTTGGGTCCAAATTCTGCCTCTGCAACTTACTACGATATTTTAAACTTGGTTATTTTGTTAATTTGAGGTTTATTGGGGTCCTACTTTCATAAGCAACTTAAGCATCTTGATCATATTAAGCTGGAAATACTGGAATTATTCACTCAATTGTGGATACTTGCCCCTGCTCTGATTCTGTTGCTTCTGTTTCCCCAGGTCTTACCTTTTGTATTCGTGAATTCCTTTGTGCACTGACTGAACTGCATTATTTATGTGCCATGTTGTCTGGCACTGTGCTAGGCTACAGAGATGCAAAGGTGACAAATCCCAAATTCTATTCTTAAGGGTGGATAAATATTCACACATACACAGGGCACAGATATGTGCTAACATACATATTCATCAAAATGTTAAGGGTGCTGAGTTAAGAGAACTTTCTAAGGCACACTGGCACACAGGGGAGAACAGTGAGTTCTGCCTAGGGAACAGAGCTAAATAGGTAACAAAGGTCTTTATGAAAAAGGCCAGGGCTTACACTCTTGGTTTTCTTTTTTTTTTTTTTTTTTTGGTGGTACTTGAGATTGAACCCAAGGATATTCTACCATTGAGCTATATTCCCAGCCCCCACTTTTTTAAAATATATATAAGATATTGTGTCCAACTACAACTAAAAATATATATATATAAATTATAAATATATATATTTTAGTTGTAGTTGGACACAATACCTTTTATTTATTTTTATGTGGTGCTGAGGATGGAACCCTAGCACATGCTAAGCAAGCACTCTACCACTGATCCACAACCCCAGCCCCCCCCCCCCCCGCTTTTTTTTTAAACTAACTTCTACAGAAGGTCTCACTAAGTTGCTGAGACTGGCCTCAAACTTGCAATTCTCCTGCCTCAGCCTCTGGGGTGACTGCAATTACAAGTGTGTATCACCACACCCAGCTAAGTCAAACCCTGATGCTTCCTGCTTCCCACCTTTGCCTTCAAACCCACTCCAAAATGAGGCAGTCTGACTTAGACTCTACAACTTGCCTTAGAAATGTCATCCCATGTCCTGATTTCTAGTACCCTAGTCCCAGTGGTTGTAATGGGTTAAGGAATCTGCTCTTTGGTTTCTGACCTGTCCCTTCCCTGTCTCCACCCCCATTAAAGGCTCACCCCTTAGTTATAAGGGCTGCATGCAGTCTTGACCACATATAATACCCAAGTTTTTCCCCAAGACTTAAGTCCTTCTTTGAACTCTAGCCCCATCACCAGTCCCTACTGGCTTATCTTGTCTTCATCAGCCTTCTCTCAGATATGGGCCTTATTTTATATCCCAGCTGCAGTCCTACCACCCAGTCAAAGAATGAGCACCAGAACTGCCACCCATCTACCAAGGCCTGGCAACCCCACTTCACTGGAACCATGGCTGAATTTCAGCTAATTTGTGACAAAGGCTAAACTTTGGTCAGGCTCCTCTGAGTCCTATTCTTAACTAGGCCTCAATTTTGGTCCTGGTCTCTTTGGCCTGTCCAGCCCACGTTTGTTTTTTGTTTGTTTTCTTTTGCAGTACTGGAGATTGAACTCAGGACCTCACACATGGTCCAGCCCAGTTTAGCAAGAATCTTGCTAAGTCAGTTTAGTGAGAATCCCCCAATATCAAATCACATTTCCTATCTGATCAGTTCTTCAGCTTCTACCTTTGGTGTATAGTCCTTTGTCTGCCTTTGCCAAGAACCTTGTTTAGGTCAATTTAGCAGGAATCTTTGAGATATCCTTTTTATATCAACTGACCCCCTCCATCTGCCCTTGGGCTATAAATCTCTGTTTGTCCTTGTTATATTAGGAATTGAACTTCATTTATCTCCCTATTGACCTCTATTGCCATAACCTTGTATAAAGTCTTCCTTACAGTTTTAACAAGTATCAGAAAAATGTTTTCTTTAGCACCTATCATGCCCTTGGTACAACAGCTGTGGACAGCCCATAGTCCATCTACCCTTCTGAGTCATGCTGCCTCCCCTCCCTGGTCTACTCCGGGAATCAGTTATTTTTTTCAGGCCCCTGAGCTCCTCTTCCTCAACAGCCCCTAGTAGATACATGTAGAAGCACAGCTGTGGTAGAGTTGTTTGAAAATAGAAACCTAGAAAGGATGGGCCAATTCTATTCCAATCAACTTCCTCTAGTTCATTCCATCAGTCAGATAACCAAAATATGTGAATAAATGTAAATGGTTTCTCAACACAAATTTATTTCCAAAGAGCTTCCTTATTTGTATTTTAGATATGAGCAAAATACACACACTCAAGGCATGAAGTATCTGTCCTGTGCTCTTTTGAATAAAAGAAAAAAATCACAGTGAATGCAGATCTTCAGTGTTCCAATGGTGCCAGAAACAAATTCACTGGCTTTTTTTTTTTAGAAAAAAAAAGAAAAGAATTGTCTGAAATTTTACCTCTTGGGTTCCAAGTACGTTTTTGTTGATAGTAGAGAAACTTTATTATAAAAGTCTCCTCACCTAGGGCTCTGGTAAGTTCTCATTTTTATTAATCTCTTTCACTTGGCTTCAAGTAAGGTAAGATGAAATTCAAAATTTGTTGAATTTTGGATTAATGTCAGGCATAGCATTTTCCTCTGGAGTATCTCCCTTCATGGGGACTGATACTGAAGTGTTCTGTAGGAAATGGCGTGTCAACCACTCATTGGTTCTCATGGCTTTGCAGTGGAGGCAGGGCCTTTCCCTGATTTGGTAATTTCCCAGATTTCCTTGCCTTTGAGCTATTTTTCTCTTCTTAACAATGGTTGGGGATAGATGCAGCTCACTTTCACTCTCCTTCCATGAGGAGGCTCCTGAGTTAGATTCTTCACTGTCACACTCAGTAGTGTCACTGTCATGTTGGGTCTGATTCACCTGATGGAGTTGAGACTGGCGCCTGGCTCGTCTTTGTTCTAGATAGGCATTGACCAAGGCCACTTCTGAGTCCATTACTGGGGAAAGTTGACCCTGTTTTGTTTTTTTCATTGTTTGAGAAAAGGCCCAGGAACCGTCTTTGTTTTGTCGCTTATAAGAATTTTCTTTGCTTGCTAACCAAGAAAACAAATGGACAAGTTAGAAACACTGTTGTTTACTTTAACTTCACATCATCCAAGGAAGCCTACTGCATGTGTGGGCTCACTCGTAAGGGTCAAATGTCAGGTCACTGCTTTCACCCAATCAACTGCGCTGCTGGCAGCTGGCTGCACTTAACAGTGCCATACCCTATGTTCCCAAGACCAGACAGTAATAGACAGATGCTTGATATGTCACTTTTGAAGTTTTGCAGACCCCAGAATATTAAGAACAAAAGGGAGAAAGTCTCCAAACTGAGAGAAGGACTTTTTCTCCCTTTGTCTCAAAGTCTCAAACATTCAAGAATGTGTATGTATATGAGGGTGATTTGGGTAGCAAGAACTAAGGCTCTTTTCTTTGTGCATTGGTATGCTGGCATTAGCTCAGACCCAACTCACTAGAGCTGATAAATTTTCAGGAATTTCATGAGATGGTTACACATAGTCATCACTAAAAATCGTACAAACTTACAATTAAGTCAATCCACTAAAAATAGTAATAATTACTTAATAACCATCATTTCCAAATTATCGTACTGCAGTTTATTATGCTGTGTGTTCTTGAAACTATTGATTTATGTCTGTTGTGTCTGGGTGTTGGAAATACCATGCTGGTAGCTTGAAACCAGCTTTGAGGGGTTACCCTGAAAATCAGCAAACACAAAAGACCAGGATTTGATGAATGGTTTTGTTGAATGTCTAAGACTAAGAAAGTGACAGAGAACATGTTACTAATGCAGACTGCAGTGCCATGCTGGCAGCCACTACATTGTGACTAACTCCCTAAAATGAAACATTCTTCCAGTATTGTAAAGCTATTAGCCATTTCAGCAAAGAAACCCACTCACATCATATACAACCAAGTTCCAACATAATATCTTTTTCACTTTCATTTGAGGAAAACAACATTCATGCTGGAACTATACCTGTTCATCAACTGCAGCTATGCTCAGGATGCAAGGGTCTGGAAAAAGTCAAGAAGAGGGCTGGGGGTAGTAGCACACCTTGTAATCTCAGAGGCTGGGGAAGCTGAGGCAAGAGGATCATGAGTTCAAAGCCAGCCTCAGCAACAGCAAGGCATTAAGCAACGCAGTGAGACCCTGTCTCTAAATAAAACACAAAATAGGCTGGGGATGTAGCTCAATGGTTCAGTGCCCCTGAGTTCAATCCCTGGTATGCAAAAAAAAAAGTGTGGGGGGGTATAGCTCAGAGGTAGACCTCCCCTGAGTTCAATCCCTAGTACCGCCAAAAAAAAAAAAACAACAACAACAAGGAGAGCATTTTTGTGAATCAGTGGTCTATACAGAATTTACCATAAAGGGCATTATATATTTTATTATTTACAAATTGTGTAAATTAAATTATAAAAACATGCACATTTTGGGAGAACCAGTTGTTAATTGTTACCAGCACACCACTGCTTATAGGTTATTGAAAAAGATGTCACTTCAGCTCACAACAAAGTATACAAAAGGCAAGTTAATGTGAAGGGAGAGTGCTAAGGAAAGAAAAGAGAGCTTGTGTTCTACCTACCAGTAACTCATTGCTTCTGATGGCTTGGCTCAAGCAGCGGAGCTGTCCTGAACTAGGGAGTAGAAAAGCAAGGAGCTCACCCTTTGTTGGGTGGAGAAGCCCTGCAATGGTTTTGGCCGTTCACCTCTGTTGCTTGCTTTCCACACTCAGCACATGCCTCTCTCATCACAGTCCAATACCAAGCACACACCAGCTCTCACCTTTACTTACTGAAGCACTTGTTCCACCGTCTTCATCCTTTTTAGTCTCAGACATCTGTTTCAGAAATATATATTAGTAAGAGTGATCTCGGTTGTTTTTCACTAATATTTACTTGTTAAGAAATGCTATTGCCCAAGGCAATAGTGTTGATGTCTAATTTTTTAAAAGTTTTTAGTAACCTTTTTTTAATATTTCCTTTTTAGTTATAGCTGGACACAATATCTTTATTTTATTTCTATGTGGTGCTGAGGATCTAACCCAGGGCCTCACCCACACTAGGCAAGTGCTCTACCTCTGAGCAACAACCCCAGCCCTCATGTCTAATTTTAAACATTCAGCAATTACATAAGTACTTGTTAAGTTCCTGTTACTATGTTTCTACTTCTGCTGCCCATTCAGCAGCAGAATCCACCAAAATGTTTTAAACTAAGCAAAATGAAATAGAGACAGGAGAGAAAATAATGCTGAGGAGGAGCTGCAGGTTATAAAGTTTTCCTTATACCCATTTACATAACACAGAAATTTCATTTAAAAACACATTGGATAATACCACAATTCATTCAAAATTATTTTTTAAAGAATTGATCAGGTTAAGTTATTTAAGTTATTTTTTAAATAAAATATCTGATATGAGGCATTTATATACACAAATATCTTTACCTGAATTCACAGACTTAATACCTCCTTAATCTTTCAGATAGTTTCCTCTAAGATGCAACCATAATTTATTATCTTTTAATACGACATTCAGAAGAAATGGATTTCTTTGAATAGTCCAATTCCAAATATTCTGTCCCAAGACTATAAATATTTGTCCCATATTTCAGAGTAGCGTCCCACTTTCTGATGCTGAAGATGATTTTGCCAAAAGACGCAAATACAAAACAACTTTCAGAATGTATCAAAAACTTTAGAAATATTCATTAATGTCTTGACCTATAATTTTTTTCTCAAGGATTCTGTCATCAGGAAATAAGCCTCCCAAAAGAGAGAGCTTTTTCCACGGAAATATTCATCATCGTATAATTAGGATAATATAAAATTCAAAATTCAAAAGTAAATAATGGCTAATTAAATTATGGTATGATCATGTAAGATATAGTTGTAAAACTTATAATAAAAGTATGTCATAGCAAGAGGAAATAAATATTTCAATGTTGAGCTAAAATTCAAGATGCAAAACTGTATATAATAGTATGAGCACAAATTTGCTAAAAATATGAAAAGAGACTTTAAGGAATATGTGTATAAGGAGTAGCAATGGTTGGCTTTTAAGTGGTTAAGACAGTGACTTTTTGTTTCTTTTTTTTTTTCAAATTTTCTACAATTAGGGGAAAAACAAATTTATGCAGAAAGTCAAACTTCCTTTGGGTTGAAAAAATGCAATACTTGGATATTTATAACTGCAATCTAAGATCTTGACCCATTGCTTTCTCAATTTCTAACAAGGTACTTCCTTGCTTTTTGGGTTACAATAACCATTCTCTGAAAATCTTGACAGTGGAATCCTTTCTGAAGACACCTTTTAAAAAAATGTTTTAGAGCTCCATAAATATTTTAAATGTAATATGTATAGAGAAAATTATTTAAAAATTGGAAATCTATAACACTCAAAGTTAATAGTTGTTGGATATTTCTACATAATCTGAAGTGATTTTTATTTTAGTTTGTCTATTTTCCTATAATCTCCACATTGTCTATAACATGTACTTGTGTAACAGAGGGAGGAAGGTATTTGAAAACACTTTTTGGTTTTCTATCATTTCTAAAGAAAGCTTCCACATTTGATGCCAAATAAAAATAAAACCATAAAATCAAAAGAAAGATTTTGTGTTAAGCTAAGTGGAATCATACGGACTGTGGTTACAAAAAGCATTTTATTAACTGTCTTTGTGTGTGACTTAGTGAGTAAAAACAGCAGCAGTGCCTGCCCTGAGGGCAGAGTAGAAAATGTGGGCTGTGCTCTTTCTTTCTGCCACTAACCAACTCTGTGATCTTACCAAGTCACTTAACACCTCCCTAAGCTCAGTTTCACATAGGCAGAATAAGGATTTCAGAGTAATATTTCCAGAAAAATACCAGCACTAGCAATCTGAATAAATCCTAAACAACTATATAAGCTAAATAGAGTATTTATAGTCTCTGAAAGCAAAAGGGTAAGTGCATCCTAAAAAGTGGGAAATCCAGAGGAAATCAGCATGCTTCACGTTGGAGGATAATCACCACCACATTTCCATTGCGCTATTACCATTACTTCAAGGTTTGTAAATAAAGTCTCATAGTTTCACAGAGAAAATGAAGAAGTTCAAAGTGAAGGAAAAATTCCATCCTCCTTGACTAGCTCTCATATGGTTCTCAGATTTCCAATCTGGGACCCTTCAGGAGAAGCAGTCCCGCCAATTGTAGCTGCCACAAGGACACAGAATGAAAGATGAAACCTCTAAGATAATTAAGGTTTTAATCAGCACTGAATAGATTTAATTCAACATTTCAAACTATGCTTTGAAGTAAACAAATAATATGGCAGGAAATCTAGGTCTAGTCCCCTCTGTCACTAATCACTTGTGTGACATTGGACAAGTCCCTTAATTTCTGTGGGCGTTATCAACTAAAGAAAGAGGTGGATAATGATACCTTGTTTGCCTGTAAACAGAGCCTGGACTACATACTCTCTTGAGTCCTTGAAGCTCAGGATTCTGAGTCTCCAAAGAGCTGATGCAAGCAAGAGAGCAGAGGAATAGCTGAGACCTCTCTTAAGTGGTCTTCATGATGAAATTGCCAGTGATCAATTTCAATTTTTTGTTAATTTTCTAAAGTAGCTTTTCTTGCCAGGCCAGACAAATTCAATATACTTAGCTAAGGAGTCTAAGACACATATAAGCTATCACTATTCTAAATCTCCTTTTGGCAAAGTATTTACCTTAAAGAAGCATTTAGACTTTAGATGAAACTTCTTCTTGGCTGGGATTTGGTGGGGGAGAAACTTTGATTATATAATGGAATCTGGCTGGCATAGACATAGCAAACCTCCCCTGCATCCAGAGCTGATATAGCACTCAGTCTAGCTGACCACTGCCAGACCAGGGCTCTGGCTGTAATGCTAAATGATGGTAGCTTGATTAATCATCAACCTGGCATTAATGGCCAGCAAGGATTCCATGTCAGCAATTTTCAAGAGCTTGGTTGCTCATAATATTTTGGGGCATCACAGTCCTGATAAAGTGGGCTATGTCATTCCTAAGAGCATGGGATTTTCTTCTGCTGATAAATGATCAAGGGTGGTGACTTTAGTTTAGTTTAGTTCTGCATCTTATCCTATGCAGAAAGTATACTGCTTCATTCTAAAATCTCCCAAATCCTCCATGAGTTTTTATCAATATGACTAACTTTTTTATCTTCAACTAGAATGACATGGCTACAAAAAGAATTAACCAGGACAGAAGTTTATCCAAGCATTACCTAACTTATGGATAAATGATAAATAACCTAAATATCATAAAACTGAAGAATTTTTATGATGCAACCACAAGATAGAAAATCAAGCAATCATTAGAAGTGCTGATGATTGAATATAACTTTTGCAAGTGTTTACGGTATGTTATTAAGTTTAAAAAAACAGGATATGAAAATACAAACAATATAATGTCAGCCATGTAAGAGGAAAGATATACTGGGTCAGGAAAAAAAAAGAAGAAGAAGAAAAATAACCTAGAATGATACTAAAAAATGTTAACAGTGATTATCTCTGTGAAATAGTTTTAAATTTTTTTCCTCCATTCTTTTTAATATTCTTGGATTCTCTAAAATGACTTTTGAATTATTTTTATAACTAAAAAATAAATTTTTAAATAGTTTCAGCAAAGAAATTTTTAAAAATCCCCTAGTATATACTAAAAATATTATTTAAAATTAAAAAAGGATATCCTACCCAGACAGAAGCCCGAGACAAGAACATCAGGACAGATATAATGGCAAAATACCAAAGCAGGAAGTTCCCTATTGCCCCACAAGAGTCATCCTTCCGGCATTCATAATCCTGATTAGGAATGGTAAAACTTAAAGGTATGGGGGGAGGATCTACCTCCCAAAATAAGGAAAAAAGGTCTCCCATGATGGATTCTTGCTTAGAAAATAAAACATGCTCAAAGGGATGAAGGTGACTGGGAACTATTTCACTCCATGACGTATGACAATTTCCTTGGCAACCCATTATGACATACATTTAAGGATCTATTACAGGGATTGACAAGTGCTTTCTGTAGTTCTAAGTTTTTGGAAGATTTATCTAAATTACTTCTACAAAATTTTATGGTATTTTCCCCCATACTTCAATATGGTTTTTTTTGGCCTTAATCTTTTTTCCCTTAAAATTGTATATATTTTTCATATCTTTAGATCTAAGTGTCTAAGGTACCACTCATTTTTATCAATCTCTTTTATATGTTTCATACCATTATAAATTAATATACACAATTCTAATTTATCAAAGACTGAGTTGTGTTCCCCCAAATTCAAATGTTGAAGCCCTCATCCCCCCACATTTGATTATATTTGGAGAGAAGACTTTTAAAGAGGTAGCAAAGGTTAAGAGAGTCATAAAAGTGGAACCCTAATCTAATACTACTAGTGTTCTTATAAAAAAAGGAAACACTAAGGATTTACCCGGCACAGAAAAAGCACACATGAGGACATATGACAAGGAGACTATCTATGAGCCACTCAGGCCTCAAGAGAAACCAATCCTGCTGACACCTTGGTCTTGGACTTCTAGCCTCCCAACTGGAAGAAATAAATGTCTATTGTTTAAGCTACCCTGTCTGTGATTTTTGTTTGTTTGCAGGGGCACCCTGTGGTTTGTGATATTTTGTTATGGAAGCCCAAATACAATGGCAAACATCTATCAAACTTGATTGGCAGTGTTCTTTTTTAAGCCTGGAATAAATGCTCAATAGCTTATAGATTATATTAAGATGGAGAAATACATATGTGTCTGTTAAAAATTATATCAAATGTATACTATTTTTTTTAGCAAAGAGTTGGACATGGAAGAGGTAGAATCCTGACATTCTAATTTTGACGGTACATTGAATCGAACTTTTTTTCTTTGAACAATTTTCATGTTACTTCATTTTTAAATCCACAACTAGGGCCAAACAATATTACTGCAAAGATAATATAAAAATGATTTTAAAATCTCACTTAAAATCTGTTAGATCTTTAAGCATAGCAAACCCACAGATTTTCATATGCAATACAATGAACTTCATATTCTTCTATTTAACCTTAGGATCAATTTAGGAAAAATTTTAGTTACTAGACGAACATGATGGTTTATTATGACCATGGATTAATGTTTTCTTTGTGGGACACATTTCTCCCTATGTCGAATGAGTCCCCAGACTTCAAGGACCCCGGCCACTGGTTCTCTGGGCCTCAGGCCAGTGTCAAGATCTCCAAGAGATCTGGGAGCCAGACTAAGACCTGGGCCAAGGCTGAGCTACATGTGCCATCTTAGGGCTCACTACACTCATCTCATTTGGCCTTCACTGAACCTCTGGGCCTACAGACTGAGCTCCTGAGACAGTAACCAGGAAGTTCTCATTTTTTATATTTCTCGCCTAGCTCAGTGGCACAGTATATGTATTTGGAATAGAACCAAACTCAACTACTCCTTGATGAACCTTTCCCTCATAATTATAAGTTCCTTCAAAAGAATTTTCAGGGAAATAGGTGTTTGTTTTTTTAAACATTGAAAATCTTTAACAACTTCAATCAAACAAATTTTGGGGTTTCTTGTTACTGTTGCATTCTCATTATATAAACATTTAAGAATTATGTGGGGGGATGGGCTGGGTTGTGGCTCAGCGGTAGAACGCTGCCTAGCACATATGAGGCACTGGGTTCAAGCCTCAGCACCACATAAAAATAAGTAAATAAAATAAAAGGTATTGTGTCCAACTACAACTAAAAAATATTATAAAAAAAGAAAGAAAAAAAGAATTTAAATGGGGCCAGAACTGGGATGGATATGGAGATAAAATATATATATATCACAAGGAACAGAATTGCTTTGTCTTTGCTCATCGTGTCCAGACCCATCATGCCCAGACCCATCATGCACACTCTATCCAGAAAATTAGCCACCCTACTAAATAAAATCTGCTTACAAATGTAAGTACATAAAAGCCCTAAGGAAGCTAAAATCATGTTAATATATACAAAATTCATCTTGTTATAGTTATTACTTTTTACTGCGACTTCAGAACCTGGTCTGAATTTTGCTGTTCAGCTTTCTCCCTGCAACTTAGTGGTAACTACCAATCCGAGCTGTTTCCCTGGTAACGCACGAGCCCGGTCCCTCCGCACCTCCCCCCACCCCCGCCGCTTCTCGCGAGAAGAGACGGCCCAGTTCTTCCGGTAACTGTAGACCAGCCAGACTCCCGGTTTGGCCTTAGCGCTTGGTTTCGCGCATGTGCAATTAGGAGTGGCGCGAGTCCGCGACTTCCGGGCGAAGAACATGGTGCGTTCTTGGGGTAGTCTTTGTGCTTCCTGGACGTGGAGTCCACGCGGGCTTTGGGAGTTCCGCGCCTACTGATCTGCACGGGTTTCAGCCAAGGGAAGATACTGCTAGGCGTCCCATCACTTTTAGTGAAAGGGAGGAAAGAAACATTAGGGGTGACTAAAGTTTGTACTGAGGGATCCTGGGAGGGAAGCACTTTGCACTGGGGAGTTGTGAAGCGGACTGAAGGGCGGGAAGGGTACTGTAGTATTCTCTATGGGATACGACTCCTGTAACTGGAACACGTTTTCCACTTGCCTGTTAAGTTTGAGTTTAGCAGGAAAAAACAAAAAAAAGGAAACATAAATCCCCATGTGAAACAAAACCGAATACACTGTCCTCTCTTCCTCTGGTTCCTTTCACACCATAGGTACCCGCCGTCTAATGTAAAACCTTCAACTTTATCAGTACACAAAATGGAGATCCCTGGCTTATATAAGTCCCAGTGCAGGGTTATTTAAGGTAGGACGTAATGAGAGCTTCTGCGTTAGGATGAAGAAAGAGTCTTCATGATTTACATGGCGTACGGAATATTTTCTCCCAAATTTGGGGTATATTGAGTTTTAATAATTTTTAAAAAACTATACCCTTGCTGTACTTGTGACATACCCCAAAAACAAAAGGTGGAATATTTGCAGACATAATAACCAACCCCTAAATTAGAAAAAAAAAAAAGACATTTTTATTAACTAAAGTATTGAATTATTCTCTGAAAGAACAAGCCAGTTCTCTCTTGATTTCCCTGTGGTGCCAAAGAAGATGTAATTTAGGGTTCTCTTTACATACAGTGATACTAGATACATTTTTTGGTTAGGTATTTTTAAAGATGAAGGAAAGAACAATTTTTACTTCATGAAGGACACAAAAGTTTTTATTTCTTACATGGAAAAGTAGTTTCTTTTGACTTAATTCCTGTGATTTTACTTTGAATAGATGCAAGGAGAGGCAAGCCCTAGTGCTTCCCTTATTGACAGAACCATCAAGATGAGAAAAGAAACAGAAGCCAGAAAAGTGGTTTTAGCCTGGGGACTCCTAAATGTATCAGTGGCTGGAATGATATATACTGAAATGTAAGTTAATCAGCCAAAAAAGGTGAAAATTTAAGCAGCCAATGGTTGGTTCCATAGTTTTTTGTATGTGTTTTGATTTTCGGAGTTTTTGTTTTTTTAATTGAAAACACTTTCTAATTTTTTCAGGACTGGAAAATTGATTAGTTCATATTATAATGTGACTTACTGGCCCCTCTGGTATATTGGTAAGTAATTTCTAGTAAACAATCAAACTAATAAACAATACAATTCCAGGTAATTATGAGTCTGTGAAAAAATATTAAGTTTGGGGAAGTTGAAATTTATATTTGTTGGTCTCCTGAAATGCTGTCTCCACATTTTCAAGAATTAGTTCAGATTTCTACTCCACTGGATGCTTTCCTTAATTTCCTCACCCTTTCCTCTTCTTTTGTCTGCTTTTCCATAATCCTTGAGTATAAAGGGTCCCTTATAGATGTTAAAGTAAAGTTCATAGTCTGGACTCATTAGTCTACAATCTGCCATGAGAGCTGGTATGCAAAGTGAAAGAGCAAAGGATTTGGAATGTGCAGACCTAAATTAGAATCACGGCTCACTAACTAGATGTATAGTCTTATAAAAGTCATTTGGGCTGGGCATGGTAGCACATGCCTATAATCGCAACACTTCTGGTGGCTGAAGCAGGAGAATCACAAGTTCAAAGCCACCCTCAGCAATTTAGCAAGGTTCTAAGCAACGTAGTTAGATGCTGACTCAAAATAAAATATAAAAAAAAGGGCTGGGGATATGGCTCAGTGGTAAAACACCCCTGGGTTCAATCCCTAATCCCCACCCCCCCCCAAAAAAAAAAGAATTTGGCCTCTGACTATTGATTAATGATTAGAAGGAGGGTAAAGCTATCTCTTATACAAGGTTGTAAGGATTAGTGATAGTTTGAAACTCATTGATAAATTCTGTATACCTAATAGATATTCCTTAAATGGTAGCTGTTGTCAGGTAGTTTTCAATTTTGTTGTTAATGTGCTAAAATATGGAGGGTTTTTGTCCACCCCACCCATCAACATATACCCCCTCCTTTTTAAAATAAATTATTGTTCTTTTCCAGAGCTTGCCCTTGCATCTCTCTTCAGCCTTAATGCCTTATTTGATTTTTGGAGATACTTCAAATATACTGTGGCCCCAACAAGTCTTGTAGTTAGCCCTGGACAACAAACACTTTTAGGGCTAAAAACAACTGGTGAGTATATTATATCTCTTGCAGAGGTGAGGATAAGGTTAGAAATAAATCTTTTATAAGTTAATTTTTCCTTTTCATAGACTCAGAACTAGAAGGGACTTAGAAATCCTTCTGGTTCAACTATATTGAGCAGATCTATAGTAAACTGTCTTCAGACCAATGATTATTGTTCCCGTTTCTATAAATTGAATGGAACTGGCATTCAGCAACGTCATGGAAGTTTGTTCCATTGTTCAATTACAATTAAATGACTAAATCTTGCATTGAAATCAATTTCTTATTTTGAA